GGCCCGCACTGAAAGCAAGATGAGGATGTCTGAGTAGCAAAGGGCAAGCAGCTGCACAGGGTCGGAACCTGGGAGAGAAGTCTGTGGTCCTCTCGGGACCATCACGGCCAGGAGCACAGAACAGCTCTCAGAGGGCAGAGTCAGTGACTGCACCTCAGGGAATGAACCGATTTAGGGCTCGGAAGGAAAGTCTGCAAAACCAGCAAAGGAAATTAGTCCACGTCTCCACCTAGAACGTCTACTTTTGTTTTATTAAATGACAGGAACACACCAAATGTGGAGCTACTTTTCATTCTAGCCACCTAGAGATTTTTTAAGTTTTTTTTTTTTCTCCAGATAAGGTGAACTAATTCAGAACAATGTGTTTTAAGGACACAATCAGGCTCGTCATCTCTGTAAACGGCAACCCGACTTCCCTTTGGAAGTTGCACAATGCTATTTTGAAATGACTTCAGAAGTTTTGTAGACCTGGAGGCAGCTCTTTCTCCTGAGTGCTGGACTCCATTCTGCCCCAGGTTTGGCCCAAACACCAAAGTGGCTTTCACTGGACCCAAGAGGGAGGCAGCTGACAGCTGTCGCTCCCATTTTCTTTTCAAGGATCTGCACAAGGGAGCCAGGTCCAAAGAAACCATTCTCAGCACCACCGGGATGGTGGCCATGCATTGGCCATGGGTGGCCATGCGGTGGCTCCTGTTGGAGGTGCTCACCTCTTTATGGTTGTTTCTCTTCCATGAATCTGAGTAGCCACTGCACTGAGCTTACATGGAGAAGTCTACAGAAGGCATATTATTTTAAATTTTGATTTTCATCTACACAGGACTGTGGTATCTTGCTTTTGATGGCATACTTATTCTACACAAATACAAGGTGCCCTCCCAAACCAGTTTGTTTATAAAAAACTGTATTCTTACATGTTTAACCTTCAGTCATCTTCAAAGTACTCTCTATTTGATGTACTACACTGATGGAGATGATTTTTCTGTTGTTCAAAAGTTTTTGATCTCATTGCCTTTTAGTGCTTCTGCCCTTTTTTGTTTCCCTTCTTCCATATCAGCAAAACGTTTCCCTTTAAGGAGTTTTTTAATCAAGGGAGACAACAACAAGAAGTCACTCGGAGATCAGGTGAATAGGGAAGGTGGGACACAGGGGCTCATGCTGTTTTTGGTCAAAAACTGCTGAACACTCAGTGCAGAGTGGGCAGGTGTGCTTGTAAGTCACCCAACATGCAATGGGCAAATGTGTTGTCTTCAAAAAAAAAAAAAAAGAAAGAAAAAAGAATTCACTGAAGCCAAACACAGCCTCTCACAACGCCAGCTGGTACACTGATACAGATGGGTTCCTAGAAAACTCACCTAGGGGAGGAAGCTCTCCAGAATATAATTCTAGGGTTTTTTGGGTCCTCCCTCATATGCTTGCAGCAAGTGTGGGAGCAGAAGAAACTTTCCTCTAGTCAACATTGCTTTGACTGGTCTAATGATTAAATTTACATTAGAAATGTAAATAAGAGAAAATAAATTTAATTCCATACATACACATGGAAATCCACATACACGAGAGGTTCAGACACCAGGAAAATGAGATATGTGACATCCTGAGCCTTGGGGCTTTAGAGGGTCATTGCAGGACAATAAGAAGAGCAGATTCTGAGTATTTAGCCGCTAGCCTGCCAAATAGAGAGGTCAAATAAAGGTTAATCTCTTATCTCTGATAATCTCTTATCATGCAAGGCCCTCTTACTCTTCTAGGCAGTGAGGGAAGCGCAGAAGTTTCTTGTGAGTCTGCCAGATCTTGATTACATTCAGCTCAAAATAGTTCGCATGCCAAAGTGAGACACTTGGGGGAGGCCTGTTCTGAACGCCTATGCAAGAGTGTACAAAGGGATGATGCAGGGAAATGACAGGCTCCCAAAGTGTTTTAAACAAAGATGTTAGGACTTTGAACTGGACCCTTTGGTCTCGAGGGAAACCATCTAAAAAGGGCTTCCCAGAACCGCCCGATCACAGCCGAAGACTTCCGCTGCGCAGTGCAGCGCCCTCTACTGCCACGGTCTCTTCACAGGTGTCCTTCCCCTGTCGCCAGAGTCTGAGATTGGGACTGCACCGTTTCTTACCGGTATCCAGACAAGTGCCTGGCTCATAGCCATCTCCAGACAAGATTCAGTCGGTGGACATATGAATGAACACGGACACATGCATTTGATCCTGTAACACCCTATGAGTTACCAATGTCATGAAATAACAGCATTTTCCCATAATCGCCTGTTTGAGGAAAATCAATGAGGTAAATAAATGAGAGGTACCTCCAGTGTTTCTTAAAGAGGAATCGCTGTTATTTCGTAGACCATAGAGAAAAAAGAAAAACTGGCCTGCATTTCCTCTGGCAAGTCAGTCCCTCAGTCCTAACTTGGGATTTGGTCTTTCACGGCATCAAGAGGAAATGGGCCGCCAGTTCTACGCTCCAACTGGGAGATCCTCCCCGAGCAAGTTTAGCTACCAGAATGCACAGGGGGCCCAGGGGGCCGCTATACAGCCTTCCCTCCTGGTCACGCCTCCCTCCCCTGTGAAAATGTGCTCCCAGGCACCTGCAGGTCCTGTGGCCTGCCCTGCAGGTCCCCAGTTGCAGTGCCCACCCCTTCAGGCTGCAAGGTAAAGCAGGGTATGAACGCAAGGCCGCTCTTCCGTACAAAGTGTTTGTCCACAATTTACATTAAGTGTTGTACATTCTATGGCATTGGACCAAGGTATAAAGACATGCATTCACTATTACAATATCATACAGAGAATTTTTTTTACTGCCCTAACAATTCTGTGCTCTGCTTATTCATTCCTCTCCCCTCACTAATCCCTGATCACCAGGGATCTTTTCCCTGTCTGTGCAGTTCAGGGGACGATGCATCCGTGCAGGTGGGGACATCAGCCGTGATGAAGACCACTGTTGTGGAGGAGGTTGGTAACAGGGGAGGCTGTGCATGCACAGGGGAGATCTCCCTACCTTCCTCTCCAAGTTTCTGTGCACCTGGAAATGCCCTAAAAACAAGCTTAAAAAATAATGAAATTTGAGATGGAGATGTGAGGTGACTTGACCAAGGCCGCAGAGCCGATTTATTACAGCAGGCCAACATTAGAACCCAGGGGGGGCCTTACACACCACAAACTATGCCACCCTGAATCCCGTAATAAAAGTCACGAAATACTGTGTGTGAGCATCCACGGTGTGCTATTTCTTGGAAATACAAGTGAGAAATAAGTCGGGGGAATCGCCTCTAGGTTCAATGGCTCACCTGTTTACCTGCTCACCTGAGTGGCAGAGGAGTGGGGTCTGTCCTGAGGTTTACATCTGGATCCTGGTCCCCGCCACTCCCCGGAAACACCACCCCCCCAGCACCTGTACACCTTTGCTAATGCTGTGCTCTGTGCCCGGAAGACTTTCTACTCTATCTTCAGAGGCTACTCACTTCCAAAGGTGAAGATCTCACTCATCACCTGTTCTGGGAGGCTTTCTCTGGGCAGAATGACTCTCTCACACACGTCTGACCTCTGAGTACTTTGCAAAACTCTATTATAGAATTTGTAAGTGTGACCATTATTATCACTAGCCGTCCAATTAGACCGCAAGCTCCACAACGGCAGAACTGGATCTCAATCCCTTCTGCATTTTCAGAAGGAACTCAGTGATGGGGTACAGTTTACATGCTCAGAAAACCAGAGAGGACACAGATCTACTGTTTCTTTTTATCCAGAGTACAGTTTGATACTTGAAGACATTATAACCCAAAATACATACAGCTTCTGCAATGAAGTGGCTGATGGAATATACTGAATATTGTAGATTTAAGAGTTCTGGTAAGGCACAAGCTATGTATGACTAAGATATAAAACCATTTTTTCCTTTACATTAGAAAAACGACTGTCAACAATGTTATAATTTTTCATTGTTCTGAAACACTTCATAACCATTTCAGTTAACAGTAAGAATAATAATGGGCAATCATTTGCTTGAAAAATAGAAAATCACATGAAATACATGAAGCACAGAGAGAACAGCAGGCCCCCGCCTCACGCGTGATCAGTCAGCGGGAGTCGTTTGGAAGGCTGAAAGGCCAACAGTGAGGAGGAGGGTAGAAGGCACGGGCTAAAGTAATAAACCTGAAAAAGAAAATCTGTTATAGAAAAGTCTGGTTTTAGATTTTGATTATGTACACACAAGGCAAAAAAATATCAAAGTCAGGTAGATAGTTATTTATCATCCTTGCTGCCTCAGGAACAAGAATTAACTTGTGAGAGAGCAAAAAATCATACAATAAAGTACTGTGCAAGTTTCAAATAGCCAACTGCTTGATTCAGGATTTAAAGAGATAAAACGAATGCTAATGCATCTGAACAAAGATGCTTAAGCCGATTTTTCCTAGTACATGTATAATATGCAATGGTGTACTGTAACTAAAAGGGTTTGGATTAAAAAACATTATCTTTTTAAAGTATCTTTTGCTCCTTTTCACAGGTTTCTATAAATTACATTTTCCCTAAACATGAACATAACATTTGGTCTGCTCGTTTATTTTACTTGATAAGCAGTATGATAGAAATGTAAACACTGTGTGGTCCAAAGTAGGTTTACAGTTGTGAGTACACGAAACACAAAGTTTATTCTTGGATTATTGGTTATGACTCACTGTATTATGTTCCACACACACAACTGTTAACTGACAACCTACTCTGCCCGCCCTGGATACATACGGGAGCACCTCAGAGATACTCAATTTCAGCTCCAGACTACCACCACAAAGCAAGTATAGCAATGAAACCAGTTGCAATCTTTTTGCTGGTGGAGGTCTCGCCTTCAGTCTGTAAAAACACAACCCTTGCGAACCCAGTACAGCGAAGCGCAGTAGAACGAGGCGCACCTGCACACGGGAGAAGGCAGAGTCCAACACAAGACCACCCCGTATTTAGTGACTGTGTAGACGTCCTGGCTATTCCAGTTATTCATAAAGAGAATCATAGAGAAAACGTACATTTGTCATTTATTCTAATTAAAGCATAGTCATAATATATTTTTATATCTTCATTTTTAAAAATTCTGATAATGCCAAGGGTCGACCTTTTTAGTAGGAATGTTGGTTTGTTAGGCTTGCCCATCTCTTCTGCTTTTACGTTAAAGATCACACATAAAACAATGAGGAATGTAGATCTTTAAAAAAGCTTAAGTGCTTGTAGTGACAGTTTAAATTATCTGGCCCTCATGAATAATGCTGAACAAATCAAGTTCCACTTCATTGTTGGTAAGTGGAATTGCGCCCAACGCTGGAATATTTTACTCCGCCTTTGCTTGGAGGTTGTATTTTTGTGGCTGGAAAAAATATTCTTCAAGAGCAGCGACTAGTTCATTTAGCTCTTTCTTCAGCTGCTCAGGATCACTGAAAAATAAGGGGGGAAATCCCGGATTAGTAGATTACTCCAAAGCATATTTTAAGCAAGCAACAGAGAAACACAACCTTAAGAGAGCTCAGACAAAACAGAACTCCAGTGACTTCAGCCTCTGTTGATGTAGACCAAAAAAAAAAAAAAAAAAAAAAAAATTCCCATGAGACAATATCCATTATTTTCCCTAAAGTTTTCCCCAAAGTCTCAAGCATAAACAGAAAATCAACCTCCTGCAGTCCTCAAAAGAACTCTTAAGAAACACAATTTTTTGGCCTAGCATTCCCTCGGCCACATCTGCACTCAACAGTGCAGAGACAACTCGCACGGTTCCAGTTGTCCCTAAGTCCGGAACCTCACAGACGAGGTCGGTTCCGTCCTCAGCCTCCCAGGGTAAGAAAGTTCCTGATCCTGTTTTCCCTCAGGCTGCTGGGAGCTAAGCGGCAGAGGCAGCTGCAAAGCCTTCCCAGCTCTGACAGAAGTGGGGAGCCTGCTAGCAGGCCTGCTCAGCACACACCAGCAACTCAGACCTCCTGGGTTTTTCTCCATTGTCCTACCTGTAGAACAAAGAGGCCACAGCTGAAATATAACTGAGAATCTGGGGAGCCAGATTCCTCCAACGAAATCAAGTTTTCAAAAACATTCATATGTAAATGCTGGAAGGCATGGGACAGATAAAAAGGACTTGTAATTAGACAAGTTTCCAGCAGCTCCTGTGTTGGGCCACCAGCGTGGAGTGAGTTACTGTAAGAACTAAACCAAAAAGCTGATGTAAACAACTGAATCCTTCCATTCAAAATTGCATTACTTCCTATTTGACCATATTTAACATATGCAAACTTTATTTTAATGGAAATGGCAATTCTTGTAATTGGTTGAGACCATTTTTACATGGTGAAAGTTAAGCAGTACAACAAAAACAATCCATTTATTATATTTTATGAACCCACTTTATTCATTCTGGCTCTACTGGTTACTAGGGGGTGCCCTTGGGCAAGTGGCTTAGCCTCTGGAAGGCCCAGATTCCTCCTCTGTGAAACTGGGATAGAGACTTGACCCTTCCCAAGGAGATGTTGTATAGACTGAGAGAAATTACATAAAACAATTAGGACACAACCTGGCCCAAAAACCTCAATAAATGGAGCTCTCATTACAATTATTTTTACCCCCACTGGTAACATATGAAGTAATTATGCTTTATAAGTACATAGGAACCACACAGGTCTTCCCCCCCGCCCCCAGCCCGTAAGTATGCTCTGAAGAAAAAAAACAATTCTCAAAGGCACATAACTAGTAATCATTGTGTTTTTTTTTCAACCACATACCTAAAATTGAAACTTGACAGTAAATTTATTATATCTACAGACACAAATCTGTATGTCTATATATAGAGAGATGTATCTATATATAGCTCCTACTGGTTTGTTTGTTCAAATACTGCCTGATACAACTATTATTTAAACCTTTGATAGTAAGAGAATGTCCTTGTTCTTAGGAATGCATATTGAAGTCCGTGACTTACTTCAAATGGCTCAGGGCGAATACACACACACACACACACACACACACACACACACACACACACACGGTGAGAAAGAGCAAATATCATACAATGCTAATTCTAGGGGTGGGGGTGGGCAAATTAGGGCTTTCTGGCCTGTTACGGTAACCAGGTAACCACGGTTTTACTGGAGCACTGCCACAGGCATCCCTTCAGGTACTGGCTGTTTTCTCTCTGCAGCAGCGGGGCTGAGCAGCTGTGCAGAGACCACACGGCCTGTAAACCCGAAAATATTTACTGTCTAGCTCTTTACAGGCAAAGCTCGCCAACTCCCGGTCTCAGTAAGGGCACGTGACATTCCCCTACATTGTTTCAACATTTCTGTAGGTTTGAAATTTTCCGAAATAAAAACTAAAGACAGCAACACCGACACAAGTATTTTTTAAAAGGCAGAACTTAAAAAATAAGGGGGTTGCATTCTAAAGGATTAGGGTCGTGAAATTCTAGGTGTAAACGAAACTCACGACCCGACTCCGTAGGATCTACAGTTATCAGAAAACAGAAACCTCAAGGGTGGCTTCACTGGGCCCGCACGGCGGGCGCACTGGCACCTGGCTTCAGCCCTGACGGCACATCCAGGGACGGCTTCCTGCTTCATGTTGCATTTAATGTTGATAAAAGCAAGCCAGGATCTTCAATACAATCCTTAAACATTCTTAAACATTCAATAGTATTGTTATTATAAAGGAAACTTTTCTGAAATGTTAGGCGCATTTTCACAGGCTAATGAAAAGGAGAAGACAAATATACACAGGAAACCTTTATAAATTGGACTAATGTCGATCTGTTTTCAAAAGAGTAGGACAGACATAAAAACACTGAGTGAGAATAAGAATGACAAAGAGGTCAATAGACAACCACACTCAATATACTAGCAAATAGCTTGCTACTTAACACACCTGGAAACACACTTGCACAGTATTCAGTAAGACACTGGTAATTCAAAACGCTTAGAAAATAAGCTGTTTTATCTGGTTAAGTTGCTACCTAGTTGAGTTTTTGCCCTTTAAGCACAAAAAGGTTTTGAATGGGAATCTGGAACGAAATATTATTACATAGTCCCATGACTTAGAAAATATATTTGAGTATCTTGACGTTTGAGACCTATAGTCATGACTGCTCTGGAACTGTTATGCAGAAGCCTCAGGACCACTGGGTGCGGAATGCTACTTCACTTACAATAAACTCCCGGAGTGGTGACATTCTGAGTTCTTGTTTCCGTGTTGCTAGTTTTGTTTTGCTTTAGTATTTTTTTTCTAGTTTTGTTTTGCTTTGGAATTTTTGCTTTGCTATCATCACTCACTTCCCTGTCTAAGAACAGTCTGACCCTAACATTTGTTTCCCTACCCCACTAATTTGCTACCTTTTAGTTGCTATCGCCTCGCAATTTAAGTTGCTCAGTAAATTTCCTCTGCCTCTATTTCCACATCGTGCAAATTTGATTCAAAACCAGAAAACCCCTTGTACAAGCAAAACTTCAGTATACAAATGTTGTAACAACTACCTGGGTGTAAGCTGTCTGTTACAGTAGCCATTAGCCACATGGGGCCACAGAGCATTCAAAATGTGCCTGGCCGCAACCAAGAAACTGACTTTTTAATTTCATTTAAATCTGACAGATTGAAGTTCAAATTTAAAAACTGACACTCAATTCAGTTGTTGGAAAATTTAAGTATGACTGGAACAACTAGGGCATCAAAATCTACTTTTTCAACTGTGGATTTTGTGAAATCTAAATATCAAGTATTTTTTTAAATTGGCATTTGAACTGAGATACATGGTAAGCTGTAAGACACCAAATGGATTTTGAAGACTTCGTGTGACAAAAATGTAAAATATGTCATTAATAATTTTTGTTATGGATTACATATTGTAATGATGACATTTAAATATGCTAAGTCAAATAACATATTGTTACAACTAATTTTACCTGTTTCTATGCACTAGTAGGACATTTAAATTGCATATGTGGCTCACATTTTATTTCTATTGGATGGAGTTGACTTCGCCTTAAAATTTTTTCCCCAGTTCTTAACTGTAATCTAAATAGACAAGTGCTAGTTAGCTATAGGTTAGGTGGGTACGCCAGCAGCACATTTACACATGCGAACCGAAACACACACCATAGCTGTTAAAGTTCAAAATGGCCCTGTCTGGCGTAGCTCAGTGGATTGAGCGCGGGCTGGGAACCAAAGTGTCCCAGGTTCGATTCCCAGCCAGGGTACATGCCTGGGTTGCAGGCCATAACCCCCAGCAACCACACATTGACGTTTCTCTCTCTCTCTCTCTCTCCCTCCCTTCCCTCTCTAAAAATAAATAAATAAAAAAATCTTTAAAAAAACCATACATAAAGTACTTAAAAAAAAAAAGTTCAAAATGTCCCAGTTGTTGGACAGTGACCAACCCATCCCTTCCCCACAGTCACAGAGACGGGACCCCGAAGCTACCGGACCCCCAGTTCTGCGGTGCAAGGCCTGTTTTTGATATTGGCTTTTCTTTAAGAAAAGTTGGGAGAGAAAGAGAAGTGAATAATGATGATGAAAGTGAACGCGCTTGTCCCTGGAGGCTTCAGGCAGCTGTCAATGTCACAGTGTTGCTGGAGGTCCTGAAACAACCTTCCTGATTACACGACACACTGGGAAGACGACATGTTTCACTTAGCATTTGCACAGAACCACGTAGGAAGCTTAGGGACAAAAAACCACAGCAGCTGCCATCTGGTCTTACCTATTTCCCGGCGGGGCGCACAATTCCGTATAGTACTTGATTTTGGGCTCTGTCCCACTGGTCCGCATGGTGGCCACGCAACCGTTAACAAAGGTAAAGGTGATCATTTGGCTGCTTTTACTAGTAGGAAGAACCTAGTAGGAAGAATGAATTATACATGTTCTACATTTAAATAGTAACAGGAACTCTTCTGGCCTAAGTAATAGTTTCCCCTGGATGAGCATGAAAATATATGCCAAACAAATTCACTGGTGCAGAAAGAAGAACATCTTTGAGAAAAATCTGGAAAGGTACTCCATATAAATGACATACTGGATAATGATAATCAGGAAATTTGTGAAAATTAGGTAATTTTGTTTATTAAGCTTTTTAACCTCCTTTGTTCTGTTCATTAAAACTGCTAAAGCTTTACTAAAATTGAAATACATCATTGCACAGGAAACTGATTTAAATAGATTAATAATGCATTCCAAAAATAGAAAAAGAACAACACTAGATCTTCTTCAACTTTGCAGAAGAAGTCTATGAACAAATAGAAGATACAGCTTCTGGCAGGTGTGTTCACGCTCTGGAAACCCTGCTAACGTGACAGAAGCATGAAAACAACACCCACACGAGGGCAAAGAGGAAAGCAGGAAACAGCAGTGCATGGGGCTGCCAGCCCATCCGGGAAGTCAGGAGACAGATGGAGGAGCAGAACTGACCTGCTGGAACACAGGACGACAGCTGAGCACCTGCAGGCGACAGACAAGGTGTTCCACAGAACCCTGGCCAAGCTCACTACCTGGAGGCACCAGGTAATGCAAAGGGCAGGGGAGAGGCGAAAGCAGTGTTTTAAAGTAGTTATCAGGCCCTCTCAGATCCTCACCCTCTGACAACACAATCAGGCAACCAGCTCATAGAAGATGGTTTAATTGTCTGGTGTCACAGAACCAGAAAGTCTCAGGAGCTGAGAACACCAGGCTCGATGGAGGGTAGCGTATAGTGCAAACAGAAATTAGGTTAGCGTCCACAGTGAATGCTAGCCCCCCTCTTCCCATGCCCCCAGGACCTCTCCACCCTTAAAGGGCCTCAGCATCCAATGCATGGCCCTCAAGCAAGAGATCAGGATGAAAGCTAGGCTTCCCCAGATGGGGCCCCCATACAAAAGTTCATTTGCTATCCTACCTCCCCGGAGTGAAGTCTGCCAGATGACAAGGCTTGTGCCTACACACAGAGGTTCCAATCAGCTTTTCAGTGCCCGAAGGACAATTAAAGTTTACTAGGCTTTGGAGAAAAGATAACAAATGAAAGACAGAGTTCAAAACAAACAAATTAAAAAAATAAAAAGAACTTGGAGGAAATAAAGAATAAAGACAATACAAAGCAAAAAAAAGACCTACATTTTTAAAAAAGCCATAATTACTATCCTTAAAAGCATTCAGATATTATACACATGAAAGGAGAATAGGATTACCATTATTAGTAAATTAGATCATAAGAGCTGAAATCCGTAGTCAACAGAAGCATGGAGAAAGTCTCCCAAAAAGTAGGACAAGGAAACACAGATGGGCGATGGGAAGGAACGAAACCCAGGAAGTAAAACACTTGTCCTGGAGAGCTGGCATCTCACTACAAACTCGTAGAGACAGGCAGCACAGAGAACGCAGGGGAACAGGTTATTTGGAAAACCACCATCCAGCCATGCAGCTTCCTCCTCTGATGCAAAAATCAAGAAAATTTCTCAAAACTAAAAGAAGTGACTGTGCAGACCAACAAAGATCAACCAAGTATTTAGGAAAAGGAATTTAGAAAAAAGAGACCCACGTGGAAGTATGTCCCTGACATTTCAGAATCCCGAGTTCCCAAACCCTCCCGCAGAGACAGGAACAAGGCATGAGAAGGACTGAGACGGGTGCCCTCAGCACCCCGTGTGCAGCACACGGCCGGCCTCAGCTCCTTCCCGCACGGATGAGTGGACGAGCGAGTGCATGAATGCTCAATGGCGACACGGGATGCCGGCCAACCATGGAGCAAGGCTTTCAAAACCGAGGCCATGAAGTCCGAGGGCAGAATGAGACATTTTCAGATCTACATGTCTCAGATTTACCTCCCATTCCCTTTTTCTTGGGAAGTTCCTAGAGGGTGAGATTAAGGAAAATGAATGCAGAAGGAGGAAGTCATGGGGTCCCAGAGCAAGGGACCCAACCCTGGTGAGTAGGGAAGGGACCAGGAGGGAGGCTGCTGGAAACAACACAGAACCAACCAACGGGCCAAATCCTTGGACCCGCGGAAACCCTACTGAGCGGCGTATGGAAGACGGGGGAAGGACTGGTGATAGTTACACAGAGACCTAAGCACTGGAAAGAACGAAGGGACAATTAACGACGGGGAAAACCATTCTTCACACAAATGAGAGGAACCTAATCAGAGTACATGGCTGAGCTCAGCAGGAAACACCGAAGTCACCCGAAGTCACAGGATATAAGTGCCTTGTGAGGACAGGAGAGAAAGGGGAAGGGTGAATGCTGTAAGTGCAAGAACTAAACCCTGATCTCCGTGACAGAAAACTAATAAAGTCTGAGAGCTTGTAAGTCAAAACACCACCCCATCAGCACGTTATTTAGAAAGCGGGTGGTAAAGGCAGGGAGGAAAACAGAGGGAAGGCGGTTGTCGGCGGTGTGATAAAGATGGCAGTGGTCCTGCACCCAGTTCCAACTATGGGTAGGATGGGGGGGTGGTTCCCCACACAACCGAGTGATTCTCCCATACCACCCAGTGTCCTACAGTTAAACCCAATTTTGACACGTCTACCTGAGACAGAACCAGGTTCCACAGGTTAATGGCTCAGTCCTGCAAAACTGCCCCTCCCCCCTTCAGATGCCAGTGGTAGGACCAGGTTGTCACCTGTGCTTCTAACTACCTTTGCATTGGAGGTTCCAAAGACCTCCTCCTTGGGTTTGATTAATTTGCTACAGCAGCTCGCTAAACTCAAACATATTACAGACTAGTTCACAGATTTTTTTATAAAATGGTGTAACTCAGGAACAGCCAGATAGAAGAGACACACAGGGCAGTGTATGGGGAAAAAGCAGGGAGCTCCCATGCCCTCTATGAGCTTGCAACTCTGCCCAAACCTTTCTCCAAACCCCGTCCCTTTGGATTTACAGGGAGGCTTAGTTACAAGCGCGTGGTGGATTAAATCACTGGCTATTGGTGATTAAGCTCAATCTCCACCCCCTTTCCCCTCCCCAGAAGGCTGGGTGGGGCTGAGAGTTCTGACTCTCTAATCACCTGGTTGGTTTTCCAGCCAACCAGACCCCTCCTTAGGTGCTTTCCAAAAGTCACCCTATCAACACAAGACACCTTTATGCTCTCATCACTTAATTCTAAGGGTTTTAGGAGCTCTGTGCCAGAAAAGGGGATGAAGATCAAATATGTACTTCTTAGTATAAATCACAGTATCATTTTCTCTGCCCTGGCTGTTGTGGCTCAGTGGATTGACTGCTGGCCTGTGAACCAAAAGGTCACAGGTTCAATTCCCAGTCAGGGCACATGCCTGGGTTGTGGGACAGGTCCCCAGTTGGGGGCCTGTGAGAGGCAACCGATCAATGTATCTCTCACACACTGATGTTTTTCTCCCTCTTTCTCCCTCCCTTCCCCTCTAAGAGTAAATAAATAAAATATTTAAAAATAAATAAATAAGTCATAGTATCACAGTGATATATGCTAAGCTTTTTACAGCGTAATAGTAGGTAAATAGAGGAGTCTGACGAAAGTGGACCTCACTTACAGCTTTGTTGTCGGGCTGGCTGTCATCGTAGCCAGTGGTGAGGTCCCTGATGCCAGAAATTTCAAATTTGCCACAGGTTTTTGGGTAATTATTCTTCCCATCGTAGTTTCTAAGGTTTTCAAATAATTTTTTAATGGTGTTTGGATCATGGCAGATGAAATACGAAGCTTTGGTAATATGGTAACCGTACCTGTCAAAACAAATCCAAATACAGGCCAAGTGAGGAACACGCGATTCTGCACAGTGGATCCAGGATAGGCAGCAGCCAGTAAGTACATTCTGCATCAGTTGCCAAAACAAATGACCAGGACTAGCTCCAGAGCACTGATGTAGCATGAAAAAAGAGGTGCAGCAATTCACCCCAGGGATCACCAAGCCGCTGCCCTGCCCTCAGCCTCTGTGTGTGGGCAAAAACTCTGCTGGGGTGCAGCCACGCCACGCCCACGGCATTATGCTCTGGGTCTGGCTGCTTCTGTACCAGAAAGGCAGAGTTGAATGATTTCCATAAAGACTAAATAGATGTTTCACGGACACATTTCATCTTTTTGTGCCTCACTTAAAATCATATCCTGCAACTAATGTTCTCATTTGGTAAAGACTAATGCCATCAGAAATGGTAATTACTAGTAAGTGGTTAAGTATCAAAAGGAAAAGATAACCTCTTGTTTTACTTTCATAAGAAATAGCACTGATAACTAAGGGAAGAGCATTAGAAAGACTATTAGTATCTCACACGAGAGAACATAACACATTTAAGACATGACCACACGTGGTGATGCATGTTACTTAGACGTACCGTGGTGGTCATGTAGCAATATACACATGCATCAAATTATGACGTTGTACTCATGAAACTAATCAAAACACATTCCTTCAATTAAATAGAGTTGATAGACACTTACTCAACATAGATGGCCTTCAGCTGCTGAGACAAAGACAAATTTTTGGTTGCGAGAAAGCTGGCCAACTCGGCGGTTATGACAGCTGCACTGACTCCATCTTTGTCCAAAACAAAAGGGCAGCACATGTATCCTGCAGAAACACGTGTCAGATACACATGCTTAGGAGTGGGTTCCTTTATAACAGGGGTCCCCAACCCGATACCTGGTCTGTGGCCCAGTCGGAAACAGGCCGCACAGCAGGAGGTGAGTGGCGGGCCAGCAAGAGAAGGTCCATCCTGGTCCCCATCACTCGCTCACATTACTGCCTGAGCTCATTTGATCCCCACCCTCCCAACCCCCCACCCATGGAAAAATTGTCTTCCACGAAACTGGTCCCTGGTGCCAAAAAGGTTGGGAACCGCTGCTTGACAACACTGTGCACGCACATATCTATATGCATCCAATTGCGTAAGAGGTTGTACAGTATGAGCATGTGGATTCTTCTCATTCACCGTTACTATATTTACGAATCTAGCCTGGCACTTAGCACACGCCGGGCCTTCAGGAAGTGTTTGTTGAATGGCCTGTAAGGAGAGGCTTCCTCCTAGACAAGTGTGCTCATCTCCAAGGTGCAGCCCAAATTCCTCCAGCTCCCACAAAATTGTTCCCCATTGTTCCAGCCAGGGCTTATTCTGTTCTCAGAATCCCCGGAGTTCTTGTGAGTTATATTATTCATCTTGATACCTGGCCTATCCTCTTTTGTGTGGTTATTTAACTAAATCTTTCAAAGCTGCTGTAGGCTAAGGTCAGTGTCCATTTCTCTCAGGATCACTGTAGTCAATGTGGGATACATATTTGATAAACCAACATAAACATTTCTTAAAAATAAAAATCTATAGAAAGACAAGACTGCCAATTGTAACCACAAAAGAGCAAAGCTGAGCAACTGCACTGCATTTGATAAATTACATATTACGTGCACTGCAGGCAATAAGACAGGTGAATCACAAGAATACATATTATAGAGTAAGTGTAATGTGTCAAAGCTGTTACTAAATGAATAGCTAAAACACCCCCAGCACCACCATCTGAATTTTGGGTTTCTGTAGCTCGCTCTCATTTCTGCTTTCTCCTACTGACAGTCTAAGACATGTGTTTTTTCAGTCCTTCTGGCTGGGCTTGGGGTCCTCCTTTCAGTAGACAATGGCTTTCATGAAGGAACATTCTCCTTTCCCCTGAACAGACCTCCACAGAGCACTTTCAGAGGCGGAACAAACTATATTAGGCCTGGATATTAATACCACAGTTGAGGAAACATCACAACTCCCCAAATATGTGGATTCTTGATCGACCAGCAGCCACGCGCAGAACACCACTGTTTTAAATCGCCTGGGGAAAGGATTCACTTGCTGACATTAGTGGCTTGTTTACTTGCCAGATATTCTTTTTAGCTGAAAACAAACTGAGATGCCAATAAAGGTAGGAAGTTCAAGGCTCTGTGAATGCCACAGAAGCAAAGCGAACTGTGTGCTGCTGTTTCACACTGATTCTTTGAACCCAAATCCAAACCCACCCCTTTCCCCCTGTACTTGCATTCTGCATATTAATGAAGTCTATGCTCACTGCTCCTTACCGATAGCTTCTTCAAATGCAAATAAGACGTTTTTCCCCTGGTCTATTAGCTGTTTGGCTCGGTTTCCCATCCACTTAAAGCCAGTTAGTGTTTCCTGAAGGGATAATCCAAAACAGAGAGATGTGCCTTAGACCTTCTACAGAGCGAAGGGAAGGGGAAAGCCCACGTCCCCGGACGCCTTACCTCAAAGTGAAAACCCTCCTTTAAGGCGATGGCCCGCAAGATTTTGGAGGACACGGTGCTGGACAACATGTATGTGTCTTTGAGGGCACTGGGATCTTGGTTCTTTTCTTTCCAAGAAGTGAAGAGCCACCAGCCCAAGAGGGCCCCCAGCTCATTGCCTGAGAACACTCTCCATTCACCACTGGAAGACAAAGCAAGCCATACCCTGCTGTGATCTTCAGGGGTGGGGGGTGGGCACTGGGATGGAGGGGCACTGGGAGTCGCTGGCACAGACAATTAGGCCAAACATGGCTGCAAGCAGTTTCTGGGGGAACTGTTCTTATTATTTCATATTTAAACAACTGGCCAGCAATCTGACTGTCACTTCGCAAAAATGTGAGCAGCTCCCACGTCTCAGCCGGTTTACCTAGATAGACACCCAGTCTTTGAGGGGCATGTAAAATAAGCATGTCAGGGATGACATATAACTCGCCTTCTCTTAGTCTTCAGCAACGGCTGGTTTTAAATGTCACAGAACTGCGGTGATCCCCTAGTATAACAATAGCGTGTGTATCTTAATTTTGGGTCAGCACGGCTAGTTCTGAGAGGGCAGAGCTTCCCCCTCCCAGAGACCGGGCTTGGAGCTACGGCGAGGAGCGCGCCAGAGACACAGTGCGATTCACTTCCTCTCTGGTTCACGTGGCTAGAGTACAGCTCCCATTTCAGCATGATTCCCCTCAGCCTAATTTTCTAAAAACGGATACAGAATTGAACTGTTTGATGGTAATCTAAAGCCCTAACTCTTTGGTAACACTCCACCACCCCCCAAACCTCACGTATGCCGTTTGACACCAGAAACTCCTTGGACCCTGCTGACCTTTCCACGCCGCCCCCCACCTACCTACCTGCCACTCCTCTGCCCAAACTCGACAGTCAAGCTTGCCTTAGACACTGTGTCAGTAGTCCACAGCTACTCCTCTCTCGTCTGCTCAATGCGAATTCAACGTTTCCCTGGAGGCCCAGCTTCTTACCAAACCCACCGGCAAGTACAGAACTATAAAGCCGGCAGTAAGCCAAGTACTCTGCGCCCGTCAGGCACTGAGTCATTAATATTAATGCAATCAGTGACAAAGTGAGGGACGATAACAGACAGTAATTTCAATCCCAGGTTCGTACTGGGCTGGTGTAATCTGCATTAGGCCTGCCCAGCAATCGTGTGGCCCTGGAGCAGCACCTTGCTCTACATTGGGGGACTTGACGGAAATTCAGTGAGGAGACCGTCTGCAAAGTAAATGGGACATATTTCCAAGTAGGTCCAGTCTCCCCAGGAACATGCGACTGCCGAGGAGGTCACCCTTTATATTTTCTACTCGGTAGGTAATCATAATTAATTGGTACCTGTCTTGCTTTTCTGCCACAGCAAGTCTATCAGCATCTGGGTCATTGGCTAAAATGATTTTGGCCTTGATTTTGTCAGCCAAAGCGAAAGATAATGTCTGAAAGAGAGCAGAAAAAAAGGACTTCGATCAAGAATCAAGCAGACTGTTGTCTTTGAAAACATTCAGTTATGTCAGCACTAAAAGAGAACTTCCTCCAAACTAAGGCTGAATTTTATTTCTGGAGCTGGTCTTGGAGGGTCACATGTTCCTTCCTCAGTCAGGTGAGGTCACGGGAGCATCAGCCCGTGACCCAAGCCTGCCCTTGGGATCCGCTGCACACGGGACAGTGTGGGTGTGGTTGGACTGGTGTTTCCTGGCCTCGCCTGCAACCAGCCTCACACACCAGAATAAACTGACTGGGTATCCCTGTTACCCTGCCCTTTAAAAAGGCTGAAGGTACTAAAATTTAAACAGCACTCCTTCATATTTTTTCATTTTTTCATATTTTCATATCAGAAAAATGACCATGAAGGAATAAAACTCATGGGATGAACTTCCATTCTATTACTGCTTCTTTTTTGGCCTTAAGGAAGCACAGTAACTTAAATTTAATCAATTAAATTAAATTTAAAGCATTTAGATTTCAGCCCTCATATCCTGATGCTAAGATAATCTAATCAGAAAGTTCCTTTAAGAAACGGATGAGAGACTAATAAATATAAATATTTCCAATGATGAAATTATTTTTGTTCAGTACAACGAAAGCACATAAAAACTTATCTTACTCGGCAGTCATAGTTTTGAATATAAGAGGTAAACTTTACATTAAAAGTGTTAGGTTACCAAGACACCTTCCCCCTCCTCGGGGTTCGGGTACTTCACGGTTGGGAACTCAGGGTCGGGGTCTTTCTGCTCGGGAACGGCCTCGGGAGCCGCAAAGTCAAACGCCCTGAAAGCCGACTGCACAAAGCGGTGACCCACGCCGTGGACAGAGGTGTGCACGAACTTCAGCTTGGTCTCCCTGTTCACACTCCTGGAATCAGACACGTCGTGGAAAATGATGAGCCACACAAACGTGACTCCACACGGGAAGGTTTGCAACAGGTCACACACCCAGATCCCTCAGAACGTGAGACGTCAATGTAACACAGATGTATAGACCCCAAAGGACCATTCTAATTCCATCTTTTACAAAGATGAAATAAGACTTACCTACTCTCTCCCCAGTACAAGAGCCCTCTCCCAACATATTCGAGTTTTAACTTGTACGCTGTAGTTATTTTCAGCAACTCTGACACCTTCAGAGTCTGTTTTACGACAGGGCACTCACCCCCACAGCAGGGTGGAAGGGCGGACCCCCCCTCCCGCTCAGGTTCCAGCCCGCAGCAATGACCTGATGTATATAGTAAACACTCAACTGGTACTAGAGCTCGATAAAAGGAGTATTTCCAACTGGTCAAAGAAGGATAGACTCTTCAACTTAATATGCTGGTACAATGGCAAACCTTTAAAAAAAAAATCTAATTTGCTTTCCTACTTCACAACTCATACAAAAGTAAAAACCACCAATATGTGAAAGATTTAAACATTACAAAATATAAACTTGCAAGTCCAAACACAGGGGGGGAATTGTTTTTATAATCTTGGCGTAAAAAAAGTCTTCTAAAGTACGACATAAAACCCAGAAGTCATAAATTAAAAAACTGATGAACATTTTCAAATTTTTAAAAAAGTTCAGCAAAAACAATTCAAGAAAAAGTTCCCAAGGTAACAATGGAAAGGAAAATAATATTTGAAGATAATGAAGTCTATTTTTCTATATAAGCAAAGTGGTTTCACAAATGAAAAATAAAATGAACAAATACACAGCAAAGTATAGGTTAAATAAACATGGAAAATAACTTACTTATAAGCATGCAAATAAAGCAAGATATTATTTCATCTAGCAAATTGGGAAACATGAAAAATTGGATAATACTCACTGTAGGTAAGAATGTGTGGATCGTGTACTGTTGCTGGGGGTGTCGACTAGTGTAACATTTTTGGAGAGCAATTTGTACAGCATTATCAACCTTGTAAATGCAGATACAATTCTGATGCCAGAAATGTACCTCAGGATACACGTTCCATGGAAATGTGTATCCTCGGGTGCACACGCAAGCACGCGCACACACACACACACACACACACACACAAGTATTCTAGTAACTGCTCAAGAGCTCCTTGGAGTAGCCCCCACCTGGAAAGCCTGAGTCTCTGTGAAGTCGGATCAGAGGACGGAGGGAAGATGGGTTTTGTGGGGAGGGGCGTGTACAACCCACCTACCTGTGAAAACAGTACTTGTTAAGGTCTTCACAGTAATCCTTTTGGATGGAAGCACTCGGGTCGTGCAGAAGTGGACTGCTATCGATCACAGAGTCATCCCAAGCCTGAGGCCACGGCTCCAGATTCTCTTCAATGGCGTGAGAAATCCCTTTGTCATGAGGAGAGATGATCTGTGCTCCGTTATCCCAGTAGACCTGGAGCACGCGGAGACACACCCAGATGGGTTAAGGCTGATGGGGAAGCAACCATACCCTGTGCACCCAAACTGCAAAGGCTCACACTTCACAGAGAAGGACACACGCATGGACACGAAAATAAAAGTACCTTATAACCATTATCCTGCTTCGGATTGTGGGAGGCGGTGATCATGAGTCCAGCACAGAGTTTCAGATGCAACACCGTGTAGGGCTGTCGTAGCAGGAAACAAGCAAGTGTTAAACAAAGGCACTGGGTGTCCTTCAAGTGTCTATTAGTTATTGTTTGTTTCTACCAATTTGTTCCCTTTTAATAAACATAATATATAAATATCATAATGTGTCAGTCAATGTTTTCATGCCACACCCAAGGAGTATATTTTTTCTTTTTTTAAAGGTGACATTTAATCCTCACTCGAGGTTATGTTTACTGATTTTAGAGAGAGGGGGAAGGAGATGGAAGGAGAGAGGGAGAAAGAGAAACACTGATGTGTAAGAGAGAAATATCGATGAGTTGCCTTCCTTATGAGCCTTGACAAGGGATGGAACCTGCAACCTAGGTATGTGCCCTGACTGGGAATCAAACGCACAATCTTTTGGTGCACAGGACGATGCTCTAACCAACAGAGCCACCAGCCAGGGCCCAAGCAGCATACTCTTACTGCCCTTAGAACTAGCTCACTGCTCAAAATTTTGGGATGTGTACCCTATTAAGAAAGGAGAATGTTTTCCTGCGTGCCTTCTTCTCATTGTTTTCTACTTGGTAGAGCTAGAAAACTCTCCAAACCATAAGATGGTCTAATCTCCTGTTTCACATTCTTTTAAGCCTTCTTGGGACAGCAGCTTATGGATTCAGTTTCCTGCAACTGCTTTCTCTTCTCCCCCTAACCCCCACCACCCTGCCCCCTCTTGCTTTTAAGAAAAAGATTGAAGAAATAACGAGGGCTCTTACATCTGGCTCACTTATCTTATACTCCAGAATAAAATCTCCCTCTTTTGTATTTCTGCTCCACTCCCACCTTCACCAGACTCCTCCTCACAATGGGGAGGGGGTGGGCTTGCCCTCCTCTGGGCGCACGTGAGATTTACCATACACAGGCAACCCGAAATTCTCACCACCTGTCCCCTCCACCGCCCCATTAAGAATCGCTGTGGCTCTTTGTCCCCTTAGGAGTTATTTCACACCCCCATGTGTCCTGGAGCAAAGAGAAGGGAGAGCCACTCCATGGAGAGAGGGAAATGATCACGAGGCACTCATTAAATTTACGTCTGATATAAAAATAATTGCTATTAACACACAGTACGGAAGACCAAGGATGCTTGAAAACATTGCAATTTTTCCATCAGACAATGAAACCTGAACCACATTTGCATGTGGCATGAGGTGTCCACTGGGTTACGTATTTTACAGTCTTGAAGGTGCTATATGTATCCGTCTGTGCACTACAGACAGTAAATGCAAAACCAGTGGGCGTTACTGCTCCTTTACTGGTACACTATCATTTCTACTAGATGTACGCAAAACTGCACTCGAATCACATTGTTGGCTTAATTTCTAAAAAAAATATATCCGTAGCATTGGGCCCCACTCTTAAAAGTTCTATCTTCTTAAAAACAACAGCTGCCATAGTCCCTACGGCCCTTTTCTTTAGATTCTGCTACATGAAGTATTTGATTAAAATCTTACTAAAACATGCCAAGCATGCTTTCTGTACTGGCCATGAACACCATTTAGAATGCACGTTTGTATAAGAAGCTGGTGCATCAACCTGTCAAAATATTCACGGCAAGACATGACTGGAGGTGAATTCAGATTCAGACACAAGAAGTTTTCTAACTGTGATAGCCGGGAAACAGAACTACAAAACAAACCAAAAAATAATACACAAACAAAAGACATTTTCCTAACCGGCTAAAATATCCTTTGAATGCAAGCAAAAGGAAAACTGAACTTTAAAAAAGTCAATTCTGATGAATCAAAAGCTGAATACCAGAGAACTATTCCTGGGACGGAGGAGAAACATTTCTGGAGAGAAGACAGGATGCCCAGCACGTGCCCACGAGCTCTCCTGTCCCTCAGACACCTGATTCCCGACAGCCCTAAAGCTTGTGACATGCAGCCCTGTCCCCTCCCCAACCCTGTGACAGAAACTATAAAATGAACCAGTTACTTACCACGAAAGGGGTGGGGGTTATGTCAGAGAACAGGTACACAGGAACCCCCTGAGTGATAAACGTGGTGGCAGCAAGCCGGGCGAACCTGGAGATGCCATGTGACGGGGGAGACAGGAGAACAGAGGGGTCAGGACCACGGTGACAGTACGGAAAAAAGTGACCGCCTGCTCGGCCACCTCTCTAGGTTCAGTACAGCAGGCACACATTTATCATGAGGTCACTGGTATGGAACCGTGAAGCTGGGTAAACCTTGGCAGTCACCTTATTCTGCTCCTTGTTTTACAGAAATAGGGCTAAAGCTGAGAGAGGCCAGACAGCGGGTCCCATGTCCACCAGTCACTTAGCAGCGGAGCCAGGCCTGCTCCCAAGTCTTTCAACTCCCTTGTCTCTCTCGGTGGTACCCCCCCGGGACATCTGAAATGCCTGGAAACCCTTTGGTTGTCACTGGAAGGGGGGTAAGGTCCCACTGGTTAGTGGGTATGAGTCAGGGATGCTGCTAAACACCCTACGATGCCCAGGGCAGTCCTTCACAGCAAACGACTCTCTGGGCCAGTGTGGAGCCACATGTCAACAGTGCAGAGGCTGAGGAACTCTGGCCTAAAGCTATTGCAACCCAGTGCAGACCACGCAGACTAGCATTTGATTACATGGTATCATATGGGTGTGTGTGTGTGTGTGTGTGTGTGATGTATATGTATGCAACACACATACATTTGACATATTTATATCTTGGCTCCATTCAGCCCTTAAAAAAGGCTTAAATCTTTGCCACTGACATTTTTGCTTAAGTTGGACAGCATCTGGCTTTGGGCAGCACGCACGGCACCAAGAAGTCTCTCTTCATGCTTGGAGTGGAATGCTTGCCCACAAGTGAGCGCTTTCCTTCCAACGAACAACATTAGACTGTTACAGGACTAACCAGATCATTCATTCTCCCTCCAAATCTGGGGGCTGGCTGGGGCACAAGAGAGCTCTGCACTTTAACAATTCAAAATCCCTAGGATCAAGAGTAATTGATACAAGGATGATTTTGACAGAAAAAAAAAAGTGTCTCCACGGGGCAAAGTCATAAAAATACCAAAATCCACCGAAAACAAGTTTAATAAAAGTATGAATGAAACTGTATTTACTAGAATGAATGGCACAGAAGTCACTTTCACCCCTGTGAACACGGATCACGTGTCACACTGACCTTCATGTTGGCAGAGGAGACACTCAACACACAGGTGGGGCAAAAGCAGGCTCCCAGTGGTGAGTACACAAAACTCGGGGTTTGTTCTTATAGAATTACTTACTAATTATTGGGTCATTTCCACGGCGAACAACTGTAAACCTCCTTTTGCCCCACTTTGTGTGTGTGATTACATACATGATACGAATGAACGGAGTTGCAAATGTGCACAAAAAATTCAACATGTCCCTCTGCATGGGCTTTGTGGTTAGCTCTCACGTTCCCCACCAGATATCTGAAGTTGGAAGAATAAAGAACGAACAGCCATTTCCTTAGGTAAAATTCTGAGACTACAAGAGTATCTGACTCTTGAAGAAGATTCCACCCCCACTGACCTCACTTGCTTTGCCACGTTTAATATTTAGGTTACAGTCTCTGACTGCTTGCACGTGGCAGGTGACCGCAGCCCTGAGTGCCACTCCACCCCACCCCATCCCACCGGACTCTGACTCCTGAACCGCACCTTAAGTAGAATTAGTCACATCAGGCACTTTTGGGAAGTAATGTGGCCCCAAGGCTGGAGCAAGCTGTGCCATAACTGACGATGTTAACTATGTAAAGGATGCGCGTCCACCAGGAACAGGGGAGTCCGCCTAAGATGAAAAAGTCTGAGAAGCTCAACAGGGTTCGCCAGACGTGCGCACTGTCCGTGCTCCGGCTGGAGGACCTGCCCCGCCCTGAGGCAGTGAAGCCTGAGTGTGACCCGATTCTGACTCTGAGTTCACCACCTGGAAACTGACACACCGATATCCTGGTTCCCACAGCATCACTCTCTCGTAAAGGTGTTCATGTGCATCCATCCCTGAGAGCTGCAGCTCCTCTCTTGCTTTGTTGGGAAAAAAAAATCATGTTTCTGAGCCTGCAACTGAAGATCCAAAATCTTAGGGCATCCTGAGTTCAATCTGGGGACCGACGTCACCCAGTCCTTGGCCCTGACCATGGACTTCCTCACAGCTGCACATCTGTTCCCATCAATGCTTTCCTCTTAGACTACGTACGAGTCCTGACAGGCAGAGGTTAGGACTCGGTGAACTCATCCACCTCTGTCAAGTTAATGAGAACTTCATTAATGTTAAATATTCGCATATTCTTCTAATCTAAGAAACAACTAGTGCTTACACTCTGAAGCAATAAAAAAGTTTCACAATAGGGTAAGTATTCATGTAAAAAAAAAAAAAGGTCCCACTACATGATTAAGAGCAGGCATTGGCAGACGCAGCTCATTAAAAAGGGTTTTATTGAAGCCCGTTCCATTATGTACTGGCTGTGCCTGGTTTTGTGCCACGTGGCAGCATCAGTACTTGTGACTGAGAGGGTACGGCCCACAGTGTGTGAGGTGTTTATTATTTGCCCTTTGGAGAAAAAGTTGGCCAACCTGTGGTGCTAGCCTCTTTATGCTTACATTGTGGCTCCTTTTTCCCTTCGTGATCTTAGAGCAGAGAAAAAAGTTCCATGCCTTACAGGACTCAGTGACTAAATACCTAAGAGCCTAGCTCACCCTCAACACTGAAATCACTGCTATTCTGTCATCACCATCATCATGACCATCATCATCTCCTGACAGCCACGTAAGAGAGAGTCCCGTTGGCTTGTGAATGTGACAGGAATGCAGCTTGACACGGGCATTCAAGAATGGGAAGGAGCTCACGAGGCTTATGAGTACTGGGAGAAAAAAATTACACTAGAGAAGAAAGTGAGAAGAAATAAGGTTGCTACTTAACAACATTTCTTTCATATAGATATGCATTAAATTCTAAATTGTCAAAATAATTTCACGTTCTTAACCCAAATGTAAAACCCGAATTTTTAAAAGTTGCAAACAGAATTTACCCTTCATTTGTTGTAGTTAAGCAATGAAGCTGACAAATGGTTTTTAAAAGCAAGCTATGGAAATGATGATTCAAAATAAAACCACAAACACACTACAAGGAAACAGTATCTTCAAATACCTTCTGCTGCTGCCTCCACTCGCTGGGTGAGCTCGAGCATCAAAGCTGATCACGACACCTCGTTGCTTGAGGTCACTGAATTGTTTTTCAAGATATCTGCAAAATCCCTAGAAAAAAAACAAACAAACCCATGGCTTAAAAGAGTATATATATATTTTTAATGCATCAAATATATATGTAAATTGGTCAATTTGTCTCTACTTCCGCAGGAGACATTGTAGCAGAGAGGGTAGAAATCCCTCAGCAGTTAAACAAGGTGAACAAACAGGAAAACAAAAAGTTTATTGTTGATCTATATGTAACAGGTACTACGATGGACACTTAATATCTAAAATCACTCACCCCTGCTCCACTTTGCCAAGCGGTCCCTTTTTATCAATGGGGAAACTAAGACCCAGAGAGGCTCAGTGACTTGTCCAGACACACGAGTGGCAGAGCCTGGATTTGTTCCCCAGGTCTGGTTAGAGGTGGCTCAGTGGCGGGTTAAAGCACAGTGTCAGGGGGTTTGGACTCCACTCTGCCACCTCTGAGCAAATAACGAGTTCCTCAATCTCTTTTTGCCTCCGTTTCCTCTTCTGTGAAACAGGAATGACAACAGTACCTACCTCAACGGGCTTTTGTAAGGATGAAAGGAGTGAAATGTGCCAAGTGCCGAGAATCTAACACCAAGAAAGCACTATGTGTTGCTGTTAGGAGCATTATTGTTTTCATTACTTTCCTTCAAAGCCTGTACTCCTCCTTTTACCCGGGCTCCAGGGGCCTGAGGACAGGGGCTTGTTTCGGATATTGCTGCCTGCTCTGTACCATCAGTAGGTCAGAGAAACTCAATACGTTTGATAAGATTTTGACAACGGACTGATCTAACGTGTTCTGTGTTTGTTTGTGATACTGGTTTTCAGCAGGCAGAGGTCCTAAGGAGGCGATACCAGTTCAATTACACGATACAGCCAATTACACAGTTATACAGCCAGTTACGCAGCATCCGGGCTAGGGCGCCTGCTGGAAATGAAGGAACACACCCCTGCTGCACCACAGTGGGTGCAACAACATCACTTCCATCCGAAATGCGGAAGGTTGGAACACCGCGCATTTTGAATGCAATCAGTTTAGAATACTGCACGAAACCGGATTTATCACAGAACAAAGAGAACAAAGGTTGATCGGGTATTGATGATGGATCGTATCCCTCATGTCACTCTGGCTGATCATTTTGGTAGGGAGAGCACCTCACAGCTTTCTTGCCAGGGAAGGGCCCATTTAGAATGCCTTTAGTTTTTCCTAGACAAAAAGAAAAAAAAATGCTTTGGGCCTATCTCCTGGGGCTGGGTGATACAAAGAAATAAGGACCCAAGTGTACTGGTTCTGTGGGTTCCCCAGAAGGAACTGAGATGCTCGCCCGCTAAGGTTTACCACAGTGATGGCCCCCTCTCCCTGCCCCTGGTCGATTCATGTCGTGGCCCCTGAGTTCAAGGGGACAGAACGCATTTAGCCTTAGTCCAAAGTCCTTCCATCTCCAAAGTGTCTGACAAGACTGGGGCCAGCTGAGTCTAAGGTCCCAAGAGAATGGCCAAGAAAAGTCTCAGTGCAGGATGCGGGGGGGTTCTTGGAACTGAAATGTTATCCCAGGACACAAGAAATAAACTTTGAATGGATTCAAAAGGTCAAACTATGGCCCATATGTAAAAGCTACAGAAAGATAGATTTTGACTCAATATAGCGAAACCATTCTTTAATGACAGCAGTGTACGGATGGAATGGCTATTTCGGAAGACCACAAGTTCGCCATCACTGATGTCTGGTGACGCAGTTAGGTAACCTAAGAGGAAATCATGACCTCTATGAATGAGGCAAAAAATAAAAAACATGTCCCTCTAGTCTCTATCCTGTTTCTCTTTGGGATGTTCTTGACTCGCATACATCTGCTTCTTAAATCCAACCAGAAGAACTTGGGGACACTATTAGGGGCATCCACAGCAGAGACCAGCAGGCAGGGGGCTGAGGTAACGAGGTCACAGGGTCACGGTGGAAGCCAGCACATCCCTCCAGGTCACACTCCTGAGGCTGGGAGGGGAAGCCTGGGGCGGCTCTCCTGGGAATCCCTTTTCTCCTATGTGGAAACCACTCCTGAGGTTTTAAAAACACCCTGCTGCTCTCACAACACTCTCTTAACTCGCCTGCCTCCTGCTGTAGGCATTCCAGTGCAGGATGCATGACCACTTCGGAGTGCTAGGGATTGTGGGGGAAATTATCCCAAAAGGTAGCTGACTGTACAGGATGACTTTCAAGGGACTCATTTTAGTTTTTGTGGGCTTCTTGGGCATCAGTGTCCAGTCCCAGAAGAGAACGATTCTTCTAGGGAGGAGGTATGAGGCAGGTCCTGAGACCTTCCTGGGGATAGGCTGCATCATTCCTGGGAACTTGACGTGGATGAATGCAGGAGAAAAGACACGACATTCACTGAGAAGCCCACTGAATCCCCTATAATTGGGCCTAACTGGAGGTGAGACCAACTGAATTTCCCAAAGATGCCCAGGCCAACATATCCCATCCCACCCCACAGGCTCCTCTCATGCGACATGAGGTTCCCTCAATGACAGGTGGGGGTCTACATACCCTCTCCTTAAATATGAGCAGCCTTACTGACTTGATTTTTAACAAACATAATATGGTGGAACTAAGTGACTTGGGGTGACTTTCAAGGCCAGGTTATAAAAGTCAGTACAGCCCCCACCTGGCACCCACACTCTCTGGATGCTTGCCCAAGCCCTGAGTTGTAAGAAAGCCAGGCCACCAGAGTGGTCCAGCCCTGGCTCAGATCTCAGCCAGGAGCCAGCCACAACCACAGACAAGTGAGTGAGGGAGCTCGTGGGTGGCTGCGGGCTCCTCGCTGGCCCAGGTGATGCCACGTGTAGCAGAGACTAACTATGCCCACGGAGCTGCACTCACACTACAGATCTGTGAGCAAAATAAACTATTTAAAATCACTGTTTTGGGTGATTTGTTCTACAGCCCTAGTAACTCGTCTTATCAGAGTTTTGCTACTGCATGCCCAACTGCCTTTTATGCAGGGAGGTGTGTGTAAGGTACGTGTGATCACCAGTCGGTTTCTCCAGCCTTTTCTTTCCCAGAATTAAGGGGGCCTTCATTTGTCACACGTCTAAGTAGTTGAAGAGACAGAGAATCCATTCTCCTTCATTTCCCCCATAAACAGACCTCTCCATACTCGGCGGCAGCTCTTCTGTCTCGTCAAAGGCTTCATCTCTGTTCCCTAACGTTGGGCCTGGACCCTGACAGTGAAACTCACAAAGGCAGGCCGGGCCACTGAGCATTGATTTCCAACCAGGCTCTACCTTAACCCCAAAGAGAGCTGGCTCACGGTTATTCTGGCAGCCAGAAAAGGTTTCCAATGCTTGCATGTGTGCAACTGCAACAAAAATGAACTTGTGCTGGAATGAAAGATCCACGAGTCTGTTTTCATCATTATTATATTCCCAGTGTCTGGCACATGGCAGGTGCTCAGTAAATCTCTGTTAAATGAGTGAATGAATGGTTGCACGAGTTTGAAACAAGTGCTGCTTCAGCCAACTGCGCAAGCCTTACTTATGGAGTAAGCGTCTGACTCCCTGTGCCGGGACAACCCACGAGACCTGGCCGTAAGGAAAACAAGTGAGGCCTGTAAAACACAAAGGGGGCCTGGGGTTCAGTTAATCACACAAGGGGGCCACTAGACGGAAGGGGCGCTAACGCCTTAGTAGCCTAAGTGAGCAACCCTGTCAGGCAAATCCAAACCTAAGCTTGTGAATGTCTCAAGGTTAAGAAATCAAACCTGAGGACAATCAACCACAAATACACCTGAGCTTTCCCAGGTGAGGTATACGCTTGGGCTATAGCCCATCTATGAATCCTGTTGCTTTGCTTCTGCCTCTTCTCTACAAAAGTCTCTCCTAGCTCCCGTCAGAGCAGGGCTTCTAACCACTTCCAGTTTGGTGCTGCCTGATTCAAATGGATGTTTTGCCCAGATAAATTCTTCAAGTTTTTAATGTGTCTCAGTGTATCTCGTAACACTGGGCACATGCTGAGAATGACCAAGTCACAGAAACACGTGGCACCTGTGTGGTCTGGATGATGGTCAAGTCGTTCATACGAGCCACTCCCGCTCCCATAGCAGCTCGGAGGCCGGCTGTCCCAAACTCCATGCGAGCCCCGAAACATCTCTGCAGCTCTGCTGTATTGCCCTCGGCAATCAGTTGTTTCACGGTCTCTGAAGTTAAGGGATTCTGCAAAACACAAGGGCAAGTGCCAGATACAGCCAGGTAAATAGCAGAATGAAAAGTCTGAAATATAAAAACAAAACCCCCACAATAATTTCCCCTTGGGTAGGTGGTGTCTCTCTAAGCTTTCCAATATTTCAATATTTTGATGCTTTTTACATTTGAAATATAAAGTGATTTCTGAATTATAATAAGTGATATTGTGATAAATAAGAAATATATTTAGTTTTAGAATAGTTTAGAAATATATATGGGGCGGGCAAAGGTCCGTTTATAGTTGTGAGTATGTGAAACAGAGTTAATAAAGCTACTGTAATAATCAAAACCTGTGCGTCTTCTTGCCATATGAACTGTAAACCTACTTTTGCCCACATCTGTATTTAGTCATTCCCTTTCAAATGTATCATTTTCTTGCCTCCCAAGGCAAGCAATTTGGAAAAATGGAATGAACTTAGAGGTTGAGGGGTTTAACACCAGAATGAAATCTCAGCCACACCACCACCCACCAGCTCTATTCACTTGGGCAAACAGGTTAGAATGTTCCTGACAAGACGGTTTTGAGGTGGTTTACATTAAAATTAATGTAAAACATCTTTGCCTGCCTGGTACTTAGTTGTAATCAAATGTTCATTTTCTTCCCTAATGTATTCAAATTTTCCCAGAGAGCAAAAGATTACACAATTAAAGTCCAAACCTTATTTTTGGAGTGTTTTGTAACTTGTACAATGACTTCACAGACTTGGTCAAATTTGAATCTCACAATGACTTCAAGAGGCAGACGAACAACTAAAACCCCATTTTGCAGATGAGGACCCCTGAGACTGATTCTCGCTCAAACTGCTCGATGAGCGTGAACTCTGTGCCTTTCCTCTTGTACTCACTGCTTCAAACAGACATTCCCACGAACCACTGAAGTTCACTTCACACTGCCCTTTTTAATTCATACAACAGTTGCAGAAAATGTTCAGAAGGAGAGAAATGGCAGTCACACCAATTCCCCATCAGACAGTTTAAATTAAGAACACAGAATAGAGGAACTTCACAGTCATCATCTCACTAGATGAACATGCAGGCACGACGTGGCCACATCATTAGACTTTGACATGCTCTTAAAATAAAACCTTGGCCTCCTGGAATTAAGCCCACATTTCCTGACTGTTCCAGAATCAAGAGGAATCAAGTGAAAGCCCACCTCTTTGGTTAAAAGCAAAAGCCCCTGATCACAGAGCACAAGCTGACCCATCCGATTGGCAGGGGCCCCCAATGAAAGGCTCAGGTCTGGAACATAAAAGCTAAAAGCAATTCAATTAATATTTGCTGAGAGAATGAGAAAACCAAAACTTCAACACTACACCCAATATCTGGTGAGTCTCAGTATTAATGTGGAGAATTCTGATTGGCCTTTGGTATCTACAAAAAAAAATAATAATTAGCCTTTGTATCTGTAAAAGACCAATAGCCTGAGAGAAACCAAAGGAGGAGAGATAAGAAGGGAAAGTCCAGAGGGCAGCAGGGGTGAGAATCAACCCTGGGAGGGACCAAAGCTGACAGCAGCTAAAGAGGAGAGTGAAGTCTCAGTGGAAATGCAGGGTGATTTGCAACCCTGGGGCCTCAGACCAATGGGCTGCCACGCTTTTCAGCTAGCAGGAAGTTTCCTCTTGCTGCCTGTCTCAAGCCAAAGAAGAAATTGGGAGAGGAAAAAAGTGGTAGGAATTAAAAAGTAAGCGGACAGATACAACACTGTGGAAATCAGGTGTTGATTTCGTCAAAGAGAAAGTTTTAGGAGCCATGCATTACCACCTAAAAGTTTTCTACACACTGCAAGTTACTAAGTTATCAGAAATGGAAACATTTTCCTTCCCTAGAGAGGGTTGTCTTTTCAGGAAAGCAGAAATGTTGCCAATAGCATCCAGAAACAGGATGAGCTTTTCCTCTACAGGGGCCAGAAGGTAAAGACAGAGGAGACATGAGACCCCTGCCCCCCACCCTCATGCTGACAGGGTATGCAATCTTCTTCATTTACTCAATGACTAATTTAGGTACAGGGAACCACCCCCTCCCTTTCCAAAAGTGTGTGTTACAAAAGACAGACTAGTGCCTGCTTTTGCTAACGGAAAGAAATCCAAAGAGGTTTTTGTTTTTTTAAAAAAAGGGAGAAGTGAAAACAGCAGTCAGCCTGTGTTTGGCAGCAGCCACTACAGAAGCAGCAGCACCCCCAGCAGCAGGCAGCCCCACAAGCTCCTGCCCCGGAACTACACTCACCACCAGAGCTGTGAACTGTCTGTGAGCACCTGTGCTTTATCTCAGCTCATTCCGTGCATCTTTTAACAAGATGTGTCCTAACATATCGGAAAAGCATATGAGTTCATAGGGTGTTAGTATAAAACTGGATACGCAATTGTTTTGATCATGATGAGTGAAATAACGACGTGTGTGCGCTGAACTTGCCTGCATCCACCACCCATACTATCTACACTCAGAGAAAGAAACTTGAGAGCTGCCGGAGTTCCTACTATTGGTTCTGCCAGTATCAAGTGGTCTCTCCAATAATGAGTAAGATGGAAAGTCTGTTGCTAGAGTGGACTGATGGTATACAAAGCATGGTGTGTATTTTATCATATCATTCCTGCTTTTACTACATCTTAGGATTATTTTATGCTTTATATGTTATATCATATCACTTGGTAGGTTATTTTTTGGGGTCAGGAATGCTGAAAATATTTTCCATATAAATTAATGGTAATTCCCTCTTTGCTTTCCGCCCTTTGAGCTTACCAAAGGTTTCATGGGAACGCTCTACCATCGGATCGCGGAGGAATCCTGCATCTACTGTATGTCCGCACTGTACAAAGCGTGAACATTCGCGAAGGCGTGGTGAGGCCCTGCTACCTGGCTTGCTGGACCTCAGCGCAAAGTAAAAGTCGGGACCCCTCACTCAGCAACTGTCAGGAATTTCTAGACAAGAGCAGAGTATTTAACCAAGTGCTGGGCCCTCCCAGAAGGGGTCCTGTGCAACCCCCACGGGATCTCGTGCCTTTAAAGTCAGCCCTGGAGAGAGGCACTAAACAAATAACCCTACAAACAAGCAACCCCCCACCCCCACCCCACCCATCGCAGTAAAAGCTATGAAGGAAAAGAACAGTCCGTTTAGGGAGAAGCAGTTTACCCTCAGGAGCCAGAGAAGGCCTGTCTACATAGAACGCATTTAAGTTCGGATCCGAAACATGAGAAACAAGTTCAGCAGAAGACCGCAGAGAACATTCCAAGAAAACAAACAGCAGCATGCGGGAAAGAACCAGGAGGAAGCCGGAGACTCCGAGTTCGAGGGGAGAGAGGGCGGCAAGTCTGGAGCTGGCGTCCCGCTTCTCCCTCTGCCGCAGCATCTAAGCGGGTGCACAGAGCCGGGGCGCAGGGTCCAAGGGGGAAGTTCCCTCGCGTCTCAGCAAGCCAGAGACTTGAGAAGGAAGCCTGGAGCCTGACCGGCCCCGGGGAGCCGTGGGTGGAAACGCTGCTCTAGGAGCCAAAGGCAGCGCGGACGGCGCGATTCCGGCCGGGAGGGGGCGAGGGAGTGGGGGGGGGGTACCTCCGACTGCAGGGGACCCGCCGGCTGCTCCAGCGAGAGGAGCGCGCCCGGCCGGTTCGGGCCCACCCCGCTCTCTCCCGGATCCCGGAACTTGCAGCCCGGCCGGTCGGGGGGCCGGCTGTGTCCCCGGGGCCACGTTTCCTGGACAAACTCGGGACGTGCCCCGCGGCCGCCGGACAGGCCTGGCCGCCGCGGCGCCCTCCTCGTCCGCCTTCCCGTGGGAGCGGAGCCAACGCCACTCGCCGCGGGAAAGGGGCGCGGCGCCCGGGGAGTAGGCCGAGGACCCCGCGCCTCCTCCCGGCGCCCCCAGCCTCCGGTCGCCCCTCACCTTGTCCCACCGAAGCCACCTGGCTGTCTCCTGGTCCAGCCGGGTGTCCGCGCCCGAACCACAGCCTCCCTGAGCCGGCGCCGCCATCCCCACGCTGCCACCACCGAGCTCTGTCTGGAGGTGGCGGAGTCGCTCTGGCGGTCCCCCGGGGCGGGGACGGGGAGCAGCCCGCAGAGCCAACCCGGCCTGCAGGAAACTGACGCGCTGCCGCTGAGCACGCCCCCTGCAGTTCACCCGCGCGCCTCTGGGGGCAGCAGCCGGGTAGAAGGGTGAAGGGCAGGTGGGGGTGCTGGGTCCTTCCTATCATCAGTGAGAAGGTCCCTAGGTCACCCCCATTTGTACAGCAGCTATTCACTGAGTTCCTACTACGCTCCAGGCACCGGGTCAGGTGCTGGAGTCCAAGGATGGGTAAACTCAGGACCCTGAAAGTTAAGTAGAAATTCTGAGGGTCAGCAATAACTGGGAAAATGCTTAAAAAGAAAAAGAAAGAGGCCCTGATTGGTGTGGCTCAGTGGATTGTGTGCCGGCCTGCAAACCAAAGGTCACAGGTTTGATTCCCAGTCAGGGCACATGCCTGGGTTGCAGACCAGATCCCCAGTAGGGGGCGTGGGAGATTGATGTACCTCTCACACATTGATGTTTCTCTCTTTCTCCCTCTCTCCCCCTCTCTAAAAATAAATAAATAAAATCTTTAAAAAAGAACAAAGAGGGAGGGTAAAAAAGACAAAGAGGGAGGCAGAGGATAGAACAGAATGGAGAGTCAGAAAACTGCACTTGTGTGGACAGCTTATTTATTTTGGAGCAAGGGGACAGGCCTTTTTTTCCCCAATGAATGGTACCGGGTGAACTGTATATCCATATAGGAAAAAGAAAGAAAATAAACTTGGGCCCTAGATCATATCACATGCAAATATGCATTCCTAGTCAATTGTAGATTTAAGTGTGAAAGCTAAAATGAAACTTCTAGAAACTAGGACAGGAGTCCATCTTTGTGACTTTGGGACCACAAAGCCTTAAAGGAGATACATGCAGTGGGTATGAACAGTCACGTGTGAAAATGTTTCTAGCCACGTTATTTGCACCAGCCCCAAATTAGAAACAACCCAAATGCCCGTTAACAATACAATGGATAAATACACTGTGGTATATTCATACGGTGATATAAACAAATTATGGAATATCCACACAGCCTTCTGAATCATCCAAATAGTTTCCATGGAGGAATGTTCCAGCTTAACCCAAAATATGGTGCAGATTCATTGCTCTACTTGCTCAGTCATTTAGAATGGGACAGCCATGTAGTTCACATGCTCACTCACTGGAGTCTACCACACCCACTGACTGCACGTTCCAGTCCACTCTCCTTGACTGCCAGGTTACATCGATGCTGCACAAACTGTCCTTGTTACAGTGACAGTGGCTGGACTTTTTTCGGACATACCTCATATGTAAATCATATTTTGATTTTTTATAGTCTTAAGATTTAAAACTTTGAAAGGAGGCAAAACTAATATGTGGACATCAGGAGAGCAGTAATTTGGGGAAGGAGAAGAGTGCCTTCTGGGAGGCCGGGACCGTTCTATTCCTTGACCTGGGTAGTGGTTGCTCAGATGTGTTCACTTTGCAATAATTCACTGGGCTGCACTTCAAATTATGCATTTTCTGTGTATTCTATTTCAATTTTAATAAGAAAACAACATCTATCCAGGATCTGTGATATCTGCTTAAGTGTAATGAGATAGGCATATTAATCACATAATCACACCAGTTAATACATAATTACAAACTGATGAAAATGTTGGAAGGGAAGCCAGGAGATTTCACATGGGTGCATGTTAGGGGCTGCCCTAGCGTGGGGAGCATCCCTGACCACTCGAGGCTTGTGTGGAGATAGATACCAGGGAAGGATGCCAAGTGCCATTAAGATTGGGAGAGGCATGAAAACTGCATTCCAGATATAAAGAACCACAAGTGGGGTCCTTCTAAGAAGAGAAGAAGGATGGGCATGCTGCCTTGGTCTCCTCATCTGTCAGGTTGTCTGCAGGTCTGCCACACTCAGAGTTGTCTCCTCTCTCTGCACCAGACCAGCTTTCTTTTCAGTCTCACTGGGACAGAAACTGCAGGACACAGAGAGCCAGAGGTCAGGCTGGTCTTGCTTGCTTTTGTTTCCATGCCTGAGTGCTCCCAGATGGGCCTGTGTGGCTGCCAGCCATCTGGAGGGTGACGGTGGGGTGTGGGTGGGGAGGTAGGGGCTTGGAGTTCCTATCTCCCTCCATGATGGATGGGTGTGGTGTGGCTGAGTATTTGCTCTAGTTTGAGGTGTGGGGAGTGGGGTGGTATTTTGACACTTGCATTACTTTCCTCTCTGCAGAAATTACAGGCCCATGGTGACGTCATATCAGAACTACTTTAAGCTCTCTTTGGGACACCAAGGGGCAGGTTTCTTGATATTCAATATTCTAGGAAATAAAGCAAGTAGGATTTTTCAAGCTGGGATAAACTTTTCACAGGGAATTGCCATGTTGTGAATAAGTTCTCCTCCCTTGACCTGCAAAGGGCACCGGATCTCAGGTACCGTGCTGAAAACAAGGCACAGTGTTTTCTCTCACTCCCTTCTGCTTCCCCTGCGAGGTAGAAACTGGCCTCTCTAAGGTTGTGTCAGGGGGTCTCTATATGCAGGAGACCTCTCTAGGGTCTCCTGTAGCTAAGATTCTACCAGTGAAGGTCTTTTTGGTTCTGACAGTGATGCCACAGTGACCCAAAGTGGCCGATTCCCACACACAACCCCCAATTAACATTTCGTGCCTGCAGAAGCCCGTGTAGAAGAACAGAATGTTGGAAGTGTTCTCTGGGAACCACTCAGACCTCCTTGTTTTGTAAATGAAGGAACCAAGACCCAGAATTTCAGAGCCCTTCTCCAAGATACACAGCTGGTCGGTGACAGAGCCAAGATTCTCATGTCCAGTCTCCTGACTTTCAAACCCAGTGTGCAATGTCCTGTTCCACTGGGCACATCTCTACACACGTCCATGGAAGAAATTTCCATGAACTCTGGTGACCTGTTTCCATGTGATAGCAGCCGACTCTTGATGAGAAGCAAGCATTAACCACCTCTGGCATGGATGACGATAGGTGATGCTCAAGCTTAACTGACTTGTTTGTGCGTGCTCCCCTGCTCCCCAAGAACTCTTTCATTCTCCCGGGAGCTTTCCCAGCTCCCCCAATCCTATCAGTTCCCTTGTATCTAGCCCAGAACCGTTTTTCTTAAATATTTATTTGGAATGTTTTAAACATTTCCTAAAATTGATCCCCATGTAATTATCACCCAGGTCAACTGTGAATATCCATGATCCTTCTTGTTTTATCAACCCACTTCCCACTCTTGTACACTTGGAAGAAGATTCCAGACATTATATCATTTCATCTATAAATATTCTAGCATGCATATCTAAAAGGTAGACACTTTAAAAATAACCACAAAGCATAATATCACCTAGAACTTTAAAGTTGAAGTTAATAATTCCTAAATTAAGTGTCTTTAATTCCTGGTAATTCCTTTAGTATAATTAAATGTTCATTTAGTGTCCAAATTCTCAAATATCTAGAAAGTATCCATCTTTTCCCCCCTGTAATTTTCTTGAATCAGAAGCCAAAGAGTTTTGCTATTGGTTGATAAATCTCTTTTAATCTGCAGGTTCTGCTTCAATTTTCTCACAAATTCTCTGTTGAAGATACTAAGTCATTTGTCGTGTGGGTTTCCCGCAGCCTGGGTTTCGCTGACTGCATCTCCATGGTGTGTTAGCACGTGTCTCTGTCTCTTGTACTGCCTATGCATTTGTTTTACTATAACTTTCTCTTCCTGGTCTCCCCCTCACCAGACCGTGAGCTCCTTGAAGGCAGCGATGGTGTTTCATTTCCCTGTGCTTACCCAGAGCCTAGCCCTGCACTTGCAAAATAAGTGGGGAAAGCAATGCATGAAGTTGGGAGGCTGTGCATTCTTTCCTCATGTGGGAAAATGGAAGGTTCTAGAGTCGGGGCTGGATGTTGCCCAAGCCACTCAACCTCAATCGGGCTCAGTTCCTTTATTTCTAGAATGGAACCAGCAATATTGTTCACCTCCTAGGTGTGATGTGGGACTTAAATGAGGAAATACACATAAAACATTTAGCATTACTTCCTGGCATAGAGTAAGCAATTCAATAAATGGTAGCTGTTGTTATGCAAATTCTACCAGATTGACATTTTGTCCTAGTCAACATGGGCTAGGCCCAGCTGAAGAAATAAATTAATCCTAAATCTCAGGGTTTAGAGCAACAAAGAAATTTTTTTTCTGCTCGTGTTACCTGTCCAGGGTAAGCCAGTGAATGCTGTGCGCCATGCAGTCACTCGGGGACCAGACGGCTCACCAGGGAAGGGCAAGAGGAAAGTGCAGAGGTCACACAGTGGCTCTTAAACACTTCTGCCTGGGAGTGGCACGCGCCACCTCTGCTCATACTTCATTAGCTAGAACTCTGATCGTATGGACCCACTTAGCTGCAAGAGCCCTGGCAAGTGCAGACTACCTGTGTGGCCAGGAAGAAGAGAATGTGATGGGGATGAGCCCTCATCATTGCTGCCACACATCCTGTGTTGTCTATGATTAAACTGTAGAATAATGATTGCAAGTGTCAGAGGTTCTGGTATATTTCTATCAAGCAAGGAGTGATGCTTAGAAACCACTCAGTTGTAATGTAGAACCACCACTTAATACAATGATCTAGTCTTCGTATACTGGAGTGACCCTTTGTAATAGAAATCAAATCATGTTCATCGTGTTCCCAGTCCTCCCATTGACTTCACAATGTACTTGGAATAAAAACTCTTATCTTTTACGATGGGCTTCAAAGTCCAACTTAAATGTCCCGGCCCTCATTTCCTGCCACCTTCCTCACTCACTCTGACCAGCCCTGCTGTGCTGCGCGGCTTCTTGAACGTGTCAGGCAAGTGCTGGCGTGAGGCCCACGCCTTCGCTGTCCCCCAGCTATCCCAGTGAAAAATGTCCACATTTAATTCAGGCGTCTGCTCAAATACCACCTCGTCAGGAGACTCTCTTCTTTACATGGTGATAAATGTTTAATGACTAGCTCTCTGGGAGAAAAGGCCCTGATTTTTAGCATCT